CAGGCAAGTGGGGAATATTCCATCACACTCCTGACTTGTACCTTGTAAATGGCGGACAGGCTTTGGGGAGTCAGGAGGTGAGTTACTCGCTGCATGTTCCTAGCCTCGGACCTGCTCTTGTCGCCAGTATTTCAATGATGAGTCCAGTTCACTTCTGGTCAACGATAACTCCCAGAATGTTGATAGTGGGGGATTCAGTGATGGTAACACCATTGAACGTCAAGGGGTGGTTGTTAAATTCTCACTTGTTGGAGATGGTCATTGCCCGGCCCACATGTGGGGCAAAAGTCATTTGCCACTTGAGAGTCCAAACCTGGATTATTGTCCGGGCCGAACAGTATTTGAACACGGATTGCTTCAGTATCCAAGGAGCCGTGAATTATAAACATTGTGCAGTTGTTGGCGAACGTCCCCACTTCTGACCTTAATGATGGAGGGAAAGGTTATTAACGAGGCAGCTGAAGATATTTAGGCCTGGTACACTAGCCTGAGGAACTCCTGCGGAGTTGTCCTGGAGCTGAGATGACTGACCTCCAAAACCCACAGTCAACTTTCGATGTGCCAGGTATGACTGCAACCAGCCAAGAGCTCCCCCTGACCCCGATAACAATTGATTCCAGTTTTGCTAGGGTTCCTTGATGCCACACTCGGTTGAATGCAGCCTTGATATCATGGGCTGTCACTCTCACCTCACCCTCTGGAATTCAGCTGTTTTGTCCATGTTTGAACCAAGGCTGTAATGAGGTCAGGAGCTGAGTGGCGCTGGCGGAACCTAAACTGGGCGTCACTGAGCAGGTTATTGCTGAGCAGGTGCTGCTTGATAGCGCTGTTACTGACACCTTCCATCACTTTATTGATAATTGAGAGGAGACTGATGGGGTGGCAATTGGCCGGGTTGGATTTTTCCTGCTTTTTCTGTACAGGACATACCTGGGTAATTTTCCACATTGTCAGGTAGATATCAGTGTTGTAACTGTGCTGGAACAATTTGACCATGAGAGCGGCAAGTTCTGTAGCACACGTCTTCAGTACTGTTGCAGGAATATTGGCAGAGCCCATAGGCTTTGCAGTACTATCCTCCTGTAGAACTTGAGAATATAGAACAGTGCTGCAGGAACAGGCCCTTCGGCCCACTTTTGCCAACCATTTGTCATTCTAAACTAATCCCTACTGCCTGCACGTGGCCTGTATCCCTCTATTCTCTGCCTGTTCATATGCCCATTTAAATGCATCTTAAACACTGCTATCTGCTTATACCACCTCCGTTGACAGCACATTCTAAGTACCTACTACCCTCTGTGTGGAAAATCTTTCCTCACACATTTCCTTTAAATTTTCCCTCTCTCACCTCTAACCTATGCCCTGTAGTATTTGAAAAAGACTCCATTGATTCTCTTTTCATACGTGCCATAATTTCATCTACTTCTATCAGGTCATCCTCGGCCCTCAACATTTGAGCAAAAACAATCCAAGTTTGTCCAACCTCTCCTTTATAGCTAATACACTCCAATCCAGACAACATCCTGGTAAACAATTTCTGCACCCTCTCCAGAGCTTCCACATCCTTCCAAAAGTGTGATGACCAAGACTGGACTCAGTATTTCAATTGTGGCCTAACTATAGTCTTAAACACTTGCTATCTGAGATTTCTGATGAAGGGTCTAGGCCCGAAACATCAGCCTTTTTGCTCCTATAATGCTGCTTGGCCTGCTGTGTTCATCCAGCTCCGCACCTTGTTGTCTCTGCTATCTGACTTGCCAACTTTTGCCTTCATCAGTTAGGGCACGGAGTATAAATGTGCCATATGGTTTTTTTTTGCTGTCTTACCCACATGGGTTTATCATACAGGATTAGTGGCAGGATTCTTGGCAGTGTGGAGGAACAGAGGGATCTTGGGGTCCACATCCATAGATCCCTCAAAGTTGCTACCCAAGTTGATAGGGTTGTAAAGAAGGCGTATGGTGTGTTGGCTTTCATTGGCAGGGGAATTGAGTTTAAGAGCCGTGAGGTTATGCTGCAGCTCTATAAAACTCTGGTTAGACCACACTTGGAATATTGTGTTCAGTTCTGGTCACCTCATTATAGGAAGGATGTGGAAGCTTTAGAGGGGATGCAGAGGAAATTTACCAGGATGCTGCCTGGACTGGAGGGCAGGTCTTATGAGGAAAGGTTGAGGGAGCTAGCGCTTTTCTCATTGGAGTGAAGAAGGATGAGAGGTGACTTGATAGAGGTGTACAAGATGATGAGAGGCATAGATAGCGTGGATAGTCAGAGACATTTTCCCAGGGCGGAAATGACTATTACGAGGGGGCATAATTTTAATCTTCACACAGAGAGTGGTGGGTGTATGGAATGCGCTGTCGGCAGTGGTAGGGGAGTCGGATACATTAGAGACTTTTAAGCGACTCTTGGATAGGCACGTGGAGGATCGTAAAATGTAGGGTATGCAGGGTAGATTGATCTTAGTAGGATAATAGGTCAGCACAACATCGTGGGCCGAAGGGCCTGTACTGTGCTGTACTGTTCTATGTTCTATGTGTTACTACCTTCAGGGAACTATGGACTTGAACCCAAGATCCCTCTGTATATCAATGCTCCTTTTTTCACTTGACTTCCCATAATGCGTCACGTCAGATCATACTTTTCTGGATTAAACTCCATCTGCCATTTCTTTACCCAACTTTCCAGTTGATTTGTATCCTTCGATAATATTCCTCACTTTACAGAACTCCACCAGGGGGATACGAAGATATCTCTCAAGGCCACAGCAATCTCGTCCCTTGCCTCCCTCAGTATCCTGGGATAGATCCTATCAGTACCTGGGGATGTATCTACCACAGTGTGTTTCAAGACCCCCAACACCATCACATCCTTAATATCGACATGCCCTAGAATATCAATATACCCCTTCCTAATCTTACCATCACCCATGTCCTTCTCTTGGTGAATACCAATGCAAGGTACTCACTAAGGACCTCATCCACTTCATCTGCCTCTGCACATAAGTTCCCTCCTTTCTCAGAG